CTAGGCTTAAAATAAAACCCCCTTTTCTAAGTTCTTTGGTTCTGGAATACTGAAGCTACTAGCTCTGTCCCCACTCATCAAACTAAGAACATTGAAGAGCCTTTTCTCTTATATCCATGACTTCTTTGGTTTCATCTAAAGCTGGCAGCAGAGACTTCTGTCTATGGGTTTTGTTGGATGAGAAGATAGGAGCATCTATAAATTTCTCAGTTATATAAAGCAAAATGTGAACAAGGAATTCTGGGTCCAACAGGAAATCAGTTGAGACATTGGTGTTGTGGCATGAAAATATGTGCAGAATAAATTACAAAATGTATTTCAACATAATCCATTCAACTATGTTCTTGATTTATTTTTTGTCTAGGAAGAGAGGGCATACCACTTTGATCCATTTAACTACAAAATCTTTTTGTTCATATATTTCAGCAATAAGCATGAGCTCTTTTCTGGATAACTTTAATTGTGATCTGTTCTTATCTTGAGAGAGGAGAGAAACCATGAATCTTATTTTGGACATGAGCACCCTTGTGAAATCAGGAAAAACATGGACAATCATCCAAGGATGATATGTAATGATGAAGTTTAGAATGCAGAATGATATCAAGACCTGAAACTTTTGGACTTGTCTTGAAGACCGTTCATCTGATTCCAAGTTATCCATGTTCTCAAAAAACTCAACAATCATTTTCAATGCAGGTAGAAAGACAGATTTGATGTTTTCAACAGAGCCTTGTGACTTGAGAACACAATCCTTTCTTTCTTGTTGAATGAAATTTGTGTCCAGAAAAGCTTGAAAGTATGGTTCAATTTCTAGTGGATAATCATCTCTACGAATTGGGCATAGAAATTCATAATTTTCCATTATGCTTCTCAAGATGAGATATTCAAGAAAGTTCTTCTTTGTTTTTTTAAGTCCTAGATTGCAAAAAAATGATGATTTTTGTGACCAAATTTCCACATTTGATTGAGAGATCTATTCATATTGGGGATCAATGCAAAAAAGCTCACCTTTGATAGACCTGTGGAAATGTTTCAAAGAAGGGTTAGATATTAAGAGATCTATTTGAGGGGTTACCCACTCAGGACTTTCAAACAACCTTTTTCCCTTGCTGATGATCAAAAGTTGAACATGAAAGTTGACCAGATTGATGATAGTATCTGGCTTGAAAATTTCAATTTCACCTGTAGGTTTTCCTTTTAGTAATTTATTTTTGTAGATGTAGTCTCCTAAGAGAAACAATGATTTCAGATATTTCAATTTGATCTCTGCGTCATCCTCCCCCTTGCAC